GACACCCCTGGTGGTGCAGTGCCAGCTAGAGGCGTGCCGCGACACCCTCACGGCCAACTTTTTCACGCTGAGCGGCCGCCGCATCCAGCAGCCAGTGAGATATGTCCGATCAAATGTGACACTCCGACACCTGCGCAAGACAGCACAGAGACTGGCACTGAAGGCAGAGTGCCTGAAGTCGGGCACGCAGCCCGTGCGGCTGGTGCTGAGCGACTGCTCCCTCGAGCCAGTGCATAACTTCATAGTATGGTCGCAGGAAATCCGGGCAAGACCCGCAACTCGCAGGCTCCGGAGAAAAGCCGACATGGCCGCACGCAACTTGCGAAGAGCCTTGGCGGAGAGCCTTTGCTCTAGGCCCTAGGCAGACCGTCTTCGCGGGAAAGCTCGCGGAAAAAAAAAGGCATGCACGCGCCCGCCTTCGCAGCAAAGAGCGAAACAGAGGATCGGCACGTCCAATAAAGCCGGGCGTAGCAGCCAAGGTGCAGCGACCCTCGCAACTCGCCTGCAGCTAGCGAAGCAGGTGCCAGTTCCTAGTCCATCCTGCGATTGCATCCAGGACCCAGCCAAGCCCTGAAGAGCGTTCTGAGACCCGCCCAGCCTGAACACTCGAAACCATGATCTGGCGGCCAAGGCATGGCCGACATCGCCACCCGACCACAGAGGCCGCCAGGTCACTATTACATGCATGCACGCTCTCACCAGCCAGCTAGCGTTCTGTGCAAGCCCCCAGGATGCCGCCGAACACATCGACCCAAAGAAGCACCCGAAGTCCGCATGCGGACGGACCCAAACTGGACCCGCGTGGCCACAAGCATTAAAATTGAGCATTGCGTGCACATGTCGGGCCCTGCCAACATGTCACGCGTGTCGGCAAGACATGCTGCGATAAAGCTAGCCCACCTGCCGCAGCGCTCCTGCACTTGCTCCAGCTGCTTGCCTGGAAACCTTGAGTGGTAGCTTAAGCTCCCACAACATGTCCGACGACCAGAGGCGCAAGTCGTGCCCGCGCATTCCGTTCAGTCGTCTGTTCTCTCTGGCTGGAGGTTCGTGACAACCCTGAAAAGCGGCAACATCCTCAAGGTGCCTGTAAGTGCCACTACAACTCGGCAGACCGTGTGCCTCGCACAGGGCCGCGAGAAGGTCTGGCGCCTCATGGGCGACCTTCCGCACGTGCGTCCCTACGAGTTCTACAAGCTGGCCGGGGCCTCCAGCAGGATCTTAACACGGGAAGTGAATTCCTCGGCACGGTCGAGGCACTGGCACAAACAAAGACCACGGACAATGCCGGCAAGATCGACATCCGGGTGGAGCTCCTGCTGCTCATCTCAAACGGAAAGCCGAGCGCGTGTGCGAATCTGTGCCATGAGCAGGCGCGTGAGAAGGATCGCCGAGCGGAACCACAAGCCTCTGTCTGGACCTCAGTTGTGCAGCACAGCACATACACTTCACGTGCTCCGTTCTGGGCAGGCCCAGCGTCACGTGGGAAGAGGTGAACACCGACGATGGATACTGACACCACACCCGGCCACGGCCAGAGCAACCGGGTCGTGTCTAGTGCATCGCAGTACATCGGCTGCTTTCTCATCAAATCGGGGACCTTCTGCCAGGTGGGTCATCTCCGCGTCAGGAAGGACAACCATGACATGCAAGTGGCCAGACCCCGAAGATCTGCACAAGCAAGAAAGCCAGTCCAGCACAGCCTCAAACTCGCAGGACGCTCTGGTCTCGAAGGTGCTGCTGCAAGCGAAGACGAACACCGTGCTCATCCGCGATAATCATCGCATGGGTCTGAGCTTCATGCCAATAGCACGGCTCTAAAAGGCCGGCGCGTCTCACACCAGACGAGGCACCTCGGACAGGTAAAACAGACGTCACGACCAGCACGAGGTGTCAGCCATGCCCCCGCAGACAGATGAAGCGAAACAGCCACGCAAGCGGCAAGAACCGGTGGCGCTTGCGACAGCTTTTTTTGTGCTCGAAATCAGCAAAACTATAGCAAACACCCCAGCTGCCGCTCTGCCAAGAAGAAGGCACTCGCTCGGTCACACCGACGGCGCAAGCTTTCGTGTCGCTCGTTGAGAGGTCATGACGCCACTTCGGGGGCTGGCAAGTCAGGCGAGGTCGCACAAGAAGTGCGGCACGCAAAGAAGTTGTGTCGCTTCCCTTTCTTTCTCCCCGTCGCACCACCTGATCCCGGAAGGCATCCGACGCAGTGATTCACAGCAGCGGACTGACCATCAGGCCCGAGTACTTGTGCCAGATTCTCGCAGGGACCAAAGTCTGGGAGCTGCGCAAGAGCGCCTGCAAAGATGCCCTGGGAAAGCGCGTTCTTCTGCTGGGCAGCAAGACAGGTCGCTGCTGGGGCAGCGTGAAAGTCAGTGGGTGCCTAATGCTTACCACGACAGAGGCAGCGTTGCACGAGGACAAGCACGGAGTCGCCCCAGACAGGATCGAGCGCTACGCGAACAAAGCCGCCTGCGTCCATGCCTGGCTCCTCGAAGACCCTCTGATCCTGCGGGAACCCTTGCACGTCGGGAGAAGCCGCGGCAGCGTGAGCTGGGTCAAGGTCCACAACATCCTGGAAAGTCCCGAACAGCAACAGGCGCTCGCAGCATGTCGCATGGCCACAGCAGCACAGCTACGCGCGGAAATGGCTGCGCCCACCAAGGAAGTGGGGTCAACACACCGCAGCATGCGAAAAGCGGCGAAGCCCAGACCCGACATGACCCACCGCAGCCATGTCAAAAAGCGATGCAAAGTGGGCCAGCCCACCAACAAGAAGAGCCGGAAAGCTGAGTGCGGATGAAGCCCGAACTTAGACTTGGGCAGACACCAGTAGCAGGACTTCGACGCGCGGGCTTCCGGTAAGAAAGAGAGGTCGACTCGAGAGACAATCAAGCTCTGCCGCATCCTTACATGGAGTGGAATTCTCTCAGAAGCCCCGACAGCAAACTAACCAACCACGCCCGAAGAGCTTTTGGCTCCGCAGTGCACACCCTCGCTCCCGCCATCGTTGCAGTGTCCAGCGAGGCCAGAACAGTAGAACCACTAGCTCAAAAACAAAGAACGACATGCCCCACCTCCCCACTCAACCCCGCTCCCGCCCCTCCACTCGCCCTACCCAAAGAAAAACAAGGCCGCTTCAAGATGGGCCAGTCTCCATCGACCAACAGCAGCCACTCGACCGGAAGACCCTTCAGGCGGGGACCAAAGCCAAAGCCGACACAGCAACAAGCTCGCGCCAGCAGTATCTAGCAGCGGCACGGCAGGTCAGACGGCGAGTGGTGGTGGTGGCACAGCGGCAACTGGTACATGTACACCCACGCCTCCCAGCAGCAAAGCAAGCAACCACACAGGAACACACCTGTGCAGCTGTGCATACATGCACGCAGAGAGCACAGCAGCAAAGAGCCATCCAGTGAGTACGTGTCGCCAGGAAATCACGCAACCATGCCGCTCAAGCGCACAGGAGGAAGTCTGTCATGGAGCGGCGACGATGGGATGGTGCCGATGGTCGAGGGAAGACGGCCTGGACTTCAACGTCGTGCCCTTACAAGCCCGCACGCTGCAACATGCCGAGGATACAGAAGATTCGGACTGAGCCGAGGATTTTTGGCCGAGCTACACGTACCCATGACCGCCGCTACCTCACTCCAACCTCGATCTAGTCTCTTGCCCAGACCCCGCAGCTCGATACATGCGCTCTGCTTGGCAACACAGTCACCAGGCCCAGGCCAATCGCACTCGACTGCACCGAGATCAAGCAAGGCCGCAGACCCACGCGGACTCCCGGTAGCCGCAGTTGACATACCGAGATACAGAAAAGCCAACCGCAAGCGCGGGGCACATTGGTGCGCAGGGAAGGTGTGTAGTCACAGACCAAAGCGTGCACGCTGTCTCCGCCTGTCGGCTCGAAAGCAGCAACGGGCACTGGCAAGCAGAAACCTGCGGGTAGACTCGCCCGGCAGCGAGCCATGGACTTCCGCGCCATGCCGTGTCTCTACAGGACGGTCGGCTATGCAGTGAACCAGCTGGTTGAAAAAGCTCAAGGCACCTAACGGACACCAACCGCCGCCAAAGACAGAACTGCTCTGTGCGAGAACCCTGACGAGGCGACCTCTCCGAAGCAGCCAGAGCCGACTGGGAGAGCATCTTCCGACAGGTACAAGGAGTGGTCGCGAGCATCAGGCGGGGACGACAGAAGAACGGACGACTTGTCACCAAACAAGGCCTCCAGAAGCTCGAGAAGCATCTGATGCTGGCTCGGAGATGTCGGCAACAGGCCGCGGAAAAGCACGCCAGGCAACGCCGTCGCCGCGTGCGATAAAGGAATGCCTCCGCCTGCTGAGCCGAGCGCCTTGGCGACGCAGCAATGGCGACGTACTTGGGAAAGCTCGCAGTCGCGATCACACGCAGTGCTCTGGCGACGGCCTCGGACAACAACCATCGCTCCAAGCAACACGAAGGAAAAAAAAACCGAGAGTCCCCAATTGCTGCCGTGTGTCCATATGCTGCTCGCCATCATATGACAGAAACTGAACATGCAGTGCAGAAGCACGCGCCGACTCGAGCTCTCGGCTTACCAGCTCCTGCCCGGGCGCAACCTATACATCCGCGCCATTGACACCGGGCAACTCCGGTGGGCAGTTGATATCACGGCAATCACAAACCCCGAAGAGCCCCGTGTGTGAAAGGGCTGCATGCTATCATAAGAACGGCACCCGCAGAGCGCGCACCAAGGACGATGCCCTTCCTCATCTGGCTCGACGACCTCGAGGTGCGTCGAAGCAACGGCGACCAGGGGAAGAAGCACCCGCCCCCAACTCCGCGCAGGTATCCTACATGACAGGAGAAGATTACATGTGGGCCACAGCCGACTGGCTGGATCCGCAGGCCAGCATGCTTGCAACCGCTGCTGACGAACAGCACATGCCATCGAAGGAGTACAACTACCGAGTCGCAATGGAGGCGCGCAGCAACATGAGCGCACGCCATGGAAAATGCCGCGGCAACGGCGCACCGAGGAGCCAGACATCCCCCAGGGCTTCCGCTTCGTGGGTCCGACCAGGGCCGAAGCAGAGGCCGCGTTGCCGCCACAAGGACAGTCCCCAAGCACGACCTTCCAGGCACGCCGCTTCGACGAAGAGCTTCAAGCGTACCTGGAGGACAACCGTGTCTGCAACAGCTCCACATGCCGCACCACTCCATCAGCTGCAGGACACAAGGTCGGTACGCTCCTGCGACAGCACCGAGGTCGGAACTGCAGCAAGGCACGGCCACGGCAAAGCAAGCTCGCCCTGCACGAGGCCGCCGAAGAGATCTGCCCGGAGGACAACAGCACACAAGCCAAGCAGCCGGTAGCCCTGCTCGATCTAGTCGAAGGAGCTCTGCGACAGTGAAAACGAATCCGCAGCATCCACCTTGGCACTTCCCGGCTGCCAGGGTCCCAAAAAACAACTAACAGACGTAAGCTATACCGAATCCAGCCATGCCATGACGCGCACTATCAGGTCGGAGGATGACGGGTGCAGCGACCTGCGGATGCGAAGCCTGCGCGGCCACGCACAGTCAGTGACGCGAGGGCATGCCCGGCACCAGCGTCATAGCTCAGACCAAAAAGCCCGCAGGCAAGAGCCGGCAGTGCGCATGCGTCAAGCGAAAAGACCAGGGATACAGCACGTGAACTAGCCAGCCCGACCTTCGCACAGCTCTTGCAGCACCGCCTGTCAGTCAACCCTGCGGCCTCAGTAGTCTGGCTCAAACCTCCAAAGAACGACCCCACGTCAGGCCCAGCACCCGATTCTGCGCCAATGGCTTCACCCGTTCGCACCATCGCCGTCTTCCTGGCGGCATCCGGCAACAAGCTGGCCGATGTGCACCTGCCAGCTGGCAACAACACGGCCAGACACGTCAAGCGGGCACTCTGCACGCTGCTCGGGCTCCCGCGATTCCGACAACGACTGCTTTCCGACCGAGAAAGCGAGCCGCTGCCGGACACGTGCAGCCTGGACACCAACATCCAGAAGGTGTTCGTCGTCCTCCTCGCTTACATCCCACAATCTGAAGACGTGGAACAGGAGCTAATGGACGCCGTCAGCCTGAGCCCGCCGAACGACGTCGAGGCCATCCTCCAACGACCACAACATCCAGATACGACAACGGAGCGCATGTGCCAGTGCTGCGGCGAGGTGCCAGTCACCGCCCTGGAAGTGGCAGCCGCATGCAACAGAACGGAGATCGTGGAGATGCTACTGGAAGCCAAAGCGGACCTGACACGGCCGGGCAACGACCGGTCCCTGCATGCGGCAGCGGCCAACAACAACGTCGAGATTGCCACAATGCTCGTGCAAGCCGGAGCGGCCACCGACACACGCATCCCTGAAACCGACAAGACAGCACTCTTGGAAGCCGCGAGCAGACACCACTGGAACGTCGTGGCCGTTCTCCTCACAGCACGAGCCCAAGCCAGCGTCGCGGACGCGGAGGGCTGCACAGCCCTACATTACGCCTGCGGCCAGCATAGCATAGAACCGGTGCTAAGACTGTTGGAACACCAAGCCAACCTCCAGGCCAGGGATCAATACAACGTGACGCCCGTGCACGTTGCTGCATACTCAAACAACGGGCAAATGCTGGAGACCTTGCTGAACGGCATTCACGACCTCACTACCCCGATCGAACCATGGGGATTCGAAGAGGGCAGCGAGGAAGAGCCGATCATCGACGACGAGGACTCCAGTGACGAGCAAGCGTAAGACCGACCCGTCTCACACGCAAGCACAGCAACGGACAGAAAGCTGGTGAAAGACCCGAGCGACAGTCGCACGTTCACCACCCTGCTGGTGCTGCCGCCGCCCAGCAGGACAGACTCTCCAGAACCCTTATAAGCCGTCCGCCGGCACTCAGCACGCCCCCCCCCCCCCCCCCCCCCCCCCCCCCCCCCCCCCCCCCCCCCCCCCCCCCCCCCTGCTGGCACAGGTCCCGTCAAGTTTTCTGGACCGCCGCCGTGCAAAGCCATGCTGCTCAAGCAGAACAGACAGCACCTCCGTACAGGACCCCGACACAGCCATGGCCGTCGCCGTAAACCAAGCAGATCCAGAACGGGCAACCACCAGTGAGTTCGCCGCCGCCCGGCCTCACCTTCCAGTCTAAGTAGCCGCTGCTCGCACGTCCGAAGCGTCTGCCAAATTTGGGCTTGAGCTTTGTAAGGAAGGAGAGGCCCCCCATGTCCTGGCGACCGAGCCCCTCACCGAGAGCGGCACGGTACCTCGGAGGCAGACACGTCTAGCCAGCCGCTGACTGCTTCGACTCGCTAACACCCAGGCAGGCACGACAGAACCGCCAGAAGTGGACCAGGCCTGCGAGACCTGAGAGATAGTATAGACGACCGGGCCCACTTCGGCAGTGCGCCCTCCACGATCCTCCAAGCCTTGCCGTCCACCGCCAAGGCCGAGGAACCTCCCTCGAAGCGTCAGCGCACAACGTTGCCGGCAGAAATGCAGCCGGAAGACCCCCGCAGCTGCACCCCCCCTGTTTCCCCCCACAGCCCCTCGCCACCACCACCGCAAGCCCGCGACCCCGGCAAGGCCTCTCAGCCGCCAACACCGCTGGAGGCCCCCAACCTGACCGCCGCAGCCAAAGCCCGCGAGGCTCCGACTGAAAAGAAACCGGCCCCCGTGCACGACACGCTGCCAACAAGCCGTAGCTACAAGATCACGCACTTCCCCTGCCACGGTTGCTATCAGTGCGGTTTCGCTGCAGGCAAAGGCCGCGCCTGGTACGCACAGAGGGCCCGTGTTCGTTACCTAGCCTCGGTCAGATTGCGCTCTGCTTGGCCTGCGAACAGACTGGTTCCGAGGCGCGCCCCGAACCTCAAGGTGCGAGAAGCCGATCCTCCGCGGGATGAAGGGCCGCGACACAGACGGCCAGCAGTAGCCAGCAACGCCAAGCGTGGGTGCCGCCAAGCCGGAGGTGTCCTTGACACCAAGACTAGCCAGCTAGGCATAGCAGCAGCACACAGTCATAGCCGCAGGCCTATAGACCCGAAGATCCAAAAGAAAGTCGTCCAAGCGAGGCTGAATGCGCGAGCAGCACCAAGTGCAAATGCGGACTACAGCCACAACCGACAGTCGTCGGAAGCAGCCAACCCGAGCACCGAAGCATAGGACGAACAGCCCAAGCTCGAGACTCCGACAGGTCCAAGCCCGACAGAGCAGCAAGAGAGTTCAGCAACACCGAGACAAGGCAGCGGCACCCACGCTGCGAGTGACGGGCAAATGAGAGGCCGGGAAAGAAGGACGATGCGGGCGGTGGCAGCCAACCACCTCAGCCCGACAGCATCGTGCCAGCCTCCGCAGGAGCACAGCTGATGTGAAAATCCAGACGGGGAAAAAGTAATCAGAAAGCTTGCGTAGAACTTGGCTTGCAGCCTCGCAGGCGCATGGACCGCAGACATATCGCTCAAACGGCCCGCCTGTGCCTCGCACGAAGCCATGACACTCCAAGGCTTTGACAAGAACGAGACCAAAGGAGTCGGCAAGGGCAAGACCGCTTGCCCAATTGACGCAAAGCAGACCCTAGCCATGTTCCTGCACGAAGTTCAGAAGCTGAAGACGTTCATCCTAGCACACACGGAAGACCCGCAGATGGACATGATAGTGGCTGCCTACCACTTCTGCTCCAAGCTGGAGTCAGCCGTCAACTTCGCAAGAGAGACCCTGCTGCGGGCACGCCTGCCCCAGGTGAACCCTCCGACAACAACAGGCGACCCCACTGCGGCCGGGCTCTTCGAGGACCCCCTACCCGGTCACGTGCACTGCAAGCTCATCTCCGCCGTGAGTGGCAACTTACTCTCCACAGTCAACCTACGCGGTGGGGAGCCGTACATGCCGCAGGTGCCCTTCGCCCGGCTCTGCGACGCGTTGCATGCACCAGGATTCCAGCTCCTAGACCAGAAACCGCACGGCGTGGACGTCGTGTTCCCTGGTCCGGGCTTGGCCCCGGACCCAGGGCAGGTGGAGCTCCAGCTGATGGCCTTGAGTACGAAGAACGCGGCCACGATGCGGATCTACGTGGCACAGGAGCCCTGCGTGATGAACATCAAAGTAAGCGACAGCTCCGATGTCCACTTCCAGACGCAGACAGTAACACGCAGGATGTTTCCGAGATCCACACCCATGTTCGAAATGCTGGAGCTAGCGCAGACCTTCGCAGCCACGGCCGGAGACAGGACCCTCCGTCAGATCTGCCCACCAGATGCTGAAGGCACCCTCGCCAAGGAAACCCTCCGAACGCTGATGCAACTGCTGCGAACGAACGCAGGCAAGCGCAAACTGTCGGAGTTCCGGACGGAGTCCGGCGACTATGCCATAGTCTTGCTCTTCAAAGGCCCCGTCGCCTACATCCGCCAGAAGGCGTTCTTCGACGAGGCCTATGCGAAGATCCCCGTGAGCGCCAAGAACGAGCAAGTAAGCTGCGGCAAGTGGCTTCTGCGCGAAATACTCAGCGGCGGCTGCGACCCCTGAGCCCGAGCGCCAGCCATGCCTCAACAGGACAGACAGCAGCACAGCGGGACGGACGACGCCAATCCGACCCGCATGAAAAGAGGGCGCCCACTCGCAGCTGAGCTTGTACAGGTGCACCAGTTGAGAGACCAACATCGCCGCCTGTCGCCATGCAGTCGGGCCGACAACGGTCGATCTGGACGGTACGTGCGTGGCCGACATGCACAGTGCAAGCCGGGCGCATGCGAGGCATTTGGCTCGAGGCCACAAGCGCTAGTCGGGAGCAGAAGCCACGGAATACGGAATGGCTGGGCCACACACCATGGCCGCCACTAGCCGCCCGGCACGTGGAAACGTGTATGCATACGAGCTCCTTGACGGCAGCGCAGCGACCGTGGCGTCGAAGACAAGCAACGCCTGCCAGCAGGCCAAGCCAGCCATGGAGCGAGATCCAGCAGTACAAGGCCGAGCCCCGGCTGTCGAATACAATTCATGCTGCCGCTGTCCCAATGACAGCGCTGCATCAGCTGAAGGCCCTCGCCACGGAAGCGCGGCTGATCGAAACCCAGCTTCACCGACCTCCGACCATCGTGTACGCCGAGGCCCCTGCCGCGCCACTCCCAGCGCCAAGCTACGAGTACTCGTTGCCGGAGAAGGCGATACACGCAGCCTGGCCGTCGTCCATGGCACAACAGGTTCAGCTCTACGAACACAGGCTGAGGCACACACCGCCACTGCATCACTCCCCCCCAACGCTTCCTCGTTCCAGGATGCTCTGGCTCCTTGCAGACGCTCTGGAACTCTCAAGCGTGTCCGCCCCTCAGCCTGTCGGACCATCTCTTTCCTTTCAGCCAGGCACGATGCATCTCGAGGAACCAGCTGACATGGATGCAAGC